GGGCGTCGGTAACTGTAGATAGCGGGCCTTGCTGTCGGCAGCAATCCGCTCTGCCTCCATGAGAGTGTCGTCCCAAAGCCTGGGACCGTCCTTGTGCATGCCGCGGGGGCAATGTCGTCGATACGATGTTATAAGCGCTCTCGTGAAAGCTTTAATGCCGGTGGACTGCTTTTTATAGTCGTATGCCGGAAGTTGTGCGTCGAGGCCCTTGACGAATAAATCCCACTTGCACTTCCCCCAACTGTAGAAAAACTTAGGTGCCGAAGGGGGTGCCGAAGGTATGGTATCCTTAAATGCCTGATGCAGCGTAAATGTCAGCATATAATGATCACTAGGCGGCGACACGGAAGCTGACCAATCCGACACATTCAGATGCTTTGACCATGTCAGATCGATACAGGATCGTTCTCTTGTGCCACGGGCATACGTGATCTCACCAGGGGTGTTAACCAAGGTGAGTCCCGCATCCGTGCACAGTTCTAAAAATTCTGCAGCAACCTCGCTTGGAGAAGCCTCCAAGAATGGCTCCCACTGTGGGTGATGCATGTTGAAATCCCCGCACAGCAGGAGCGGCGACGAGGCTGGAAGGCAGTTTACTAACCGCCTGAAGGATTGCGTTACTTGCGGTGGTGGTCTCATATAGGCACTCGCGACAATAAGATCACGGTTCTGGTCCAGAGCAACCTGGACCACCACCACTTCAAGGCTGGTGTCATGCTGGGGGATGGTGAGGGGTATACGCTTGGAGCGGAGAGTTTTCCGCACCAGCACCGCCACACCGCCTCCCTTGCCGACGCGCGACTGTGCATAGAGCACATAATCTCCAGTGTGCATGCTGGCGATCTTCTCTGACGACTTCCAAGTCTCCTGAATGGCTATTATGTCTGCTCCTTGCGCCATTAATGTTGCGAGTTTTGACGGCGTGAGGCAAGAAACGTTCATCTGGAGTACTGCTATGGGGCCTGGGTTCTGCTCAATGTCTCCGCTTGGCAGTAGCTTTTGTCGTTGCGCGTCACATACGGCACGCAAACGGTATGTGTAGCGCTGATAAGCGCCGATGGAATTCAGCAGCGGATAGAAATACCGCTCCGCGGGCAGTCATGTAAATGGCTCCATCTGGTGCCCTTCCGACCCGTTTGTGCGGCGCCTCCTGCCTCTCCGCGGGCAGCGGATGGGCAGCAGGCGCTTAGCTTCCTCTCTAGCAAAGAGTACTAGACCCTGGCACCACGTTGAGGTGGCCGGCTGAGCCAGGGCGCACGACACATCAGAAAGAAGGCCGCTATCCGTAAAAGCTTCCGGCGTGGCCAATTCCATCTCTTCCCATCGCCAATGGAGGGAATAAATTGCTGTTGGCCACGGCAAAGCGGAGTAACAGTGCGGCAACAAGGAACGGCAACAGCGACAGGGAACCCCCACCGAAGCAGTGGAGAATGAAGCAGAAACTCCATCCTCTCTTTTCCCCTTGTCCCACATCGCAGCACCGTATTTCCTTCACCAGACTCACAGGGCACCGATACCATCATTAGTATGCCATTCATATTCTGGGTGTATGTAGCTAAAATCATCGTCCTACATCGGCACCAGATAGCAACTGTAACAGCCACATTCCTCCTCATGTGGGTGCCACGGGGCATCGATACAGCATTGGTTAACTGCTGGTAGTGGCAGTAGTGGTGCTAGTCAGTCTGTGTGTGAGGGGCAAAAAGGGGAGGCAGCAACGGATACACAAACGCCTCGCATTTCCTCCCTTATGCATAGCAGCCTGACGGGATAAAAAACAAACAGGAAGCGGTGTAAAAGCATTGACGTCTTCCTCTCAATTCTCAACTTCCCTCTCACGCTCGGCATGACATGATGTGCTTCTCCCAATGTAAAACTGACAAGCGTCACTACCCACCAGCAGTAAGTGTTCACTGGCACACACACACACACACACACGTATATATATTTATATATATGTACATATTACATTATAGATGCATATGTACTCTTTTGTGTAAAAAGAGGTGTTAACATGTAAGATTCCCTGCTATCTCTTTGTCCAGTATGAACGTCACATCACCCTTACAATTGCGAAGAAACCGTGAAACGGGTACCTCCGTGGGGGTATCTGCTATGATGCCGTTCAGAACACATTTCTTTTCTTTGCCTGTTGCGAGAAGAATCACATGTCGTGCGTGAATGATGGTGATGGGCGTCAATGTCACTCTCCAGACCTTTGGGCTCATTGTTGGGCTGGGAAACCCGACACTTACGGCCCGGTGCATTTCGCTCTCGGCCTGAGATCCGTGGAATATCGAGGCGGTGTGTCCATCGGAGCCCAAGCCAAGCAGGACGATGTCAAAGACAGGGATCTCTGCCTCCATCCCCTCCACTTTTTGAGTGCCAAGAAGCAAAGCGATCTTTTTCTCGTACGCGTCCGCAGACTTCACGGCGTCGTTGCAGGCAACCTTCGATACCTTTCCCACGCATCCCACGTCAACAGGCACCACTAAATCTTCGGGAATGTCGTGCAGAAGCGCCTGCCTTGCCATGTTGTAGTTCGACTCCGCGGCATCGGCGGGCACCAGCCGCTCATCGCCAAAAAAGAAACGCAACGCCCGCTCCTCCTTCAGCAGATGCAAATGCTCCTCGTGCAGAAGGGAGTATAACATCTTGGGTGTGGAGCCGCCGGAGAGAGCAATGGAGAGCGGCCAATTCGTGCGTTCTGATGCATGAATGATTTCAACAATTTTTTTGCATGCTACACCACTCAACTCCGCTGGTGAGCCGCAGACAATAATCTTTGGTTTAAATGACATTTCTTCGCTCCCCCGTCTTATCTCTCACACTCTCGTTCTTTTTTTATTTCTTTGCGTGAATGAGCCTCTTTGGCCCCGTGTTGTTCCCCAAAGCCGACGAGGAAAGAAAAGAAAAGAGAGAGGAGCTATATATATATATATATATATATGTAAATTAAGTCAGGCAATGACGGAGCAAATTGCATCAACTTCTACGAAAAAGAGCTCTTCAATCCGTGTATGTTCCTCAGAAGAAACATCAAACAGAAGAATGGGAAAAAAGAAAAAAAGGAATTTGTGCCCACAATTGCTCCCTGCTGCCCCTCTAAGAGTAGCGCTCATATAGCCGACGCACCTTCTCCCCCAGTGTAGATCGAACAGGGGTGTTTGGGAACGAAAAGGGATTCAAAAGATATCGCACGCAGAGTCCGTAGACTTCATTCATAAACTGGCGGGTGTTTTTGTTAGGCTCCTGCTCTTGCATGAGAAGCAGTTTGATAGGTGCAAAGCCTACGTACGCAGAAACGTAGTACTTTCCTTCTAATGGCCGGTCAATCGCAGGAAGGAGGAAGTCCCCTGTTTTCCAGAGAACGTCATCCAAGAGATCTAGCGAGGCGTACAGCATCAACTGCCGCGACAGGTGCGTACTCTCGCCGTCCACCGACTTTGCGCACTCAAACAATGAAGCATCATCCGGCCCAATGACCATCAACATGGCGGCAGAATTCTGCCTGCAAAAGAAAAAAAAAAAAGGGAAAAAGATGTAAGAAAAAACAGAGGCAAGGGATTCATGTGTGCACATGCGGGACGGCCAAAAAAAAAAAAAAAAAAAAAAAAAAAAGGAAGGACAACAAATATTGACTTCCATTTTTAATTATTTGTTTGTGTGTGTGTGTGTGTGTGTGTGTGTAAACTTCAAAAGTATTCAAAAAGACGTTCTGCTTCCCAACCGTCACGCGTCCCTCCCATCGTATTTAATTACGTTTTAACCCTCTTGAGTGGCGGTGCCCCGTCCCCACTGTCAGAGGCGTGCTCGCCGTCCATATCCCCCTCACCCGCACATTCCTCAGCCTTATCGACGTCGAAGCTCCCGCTGTCGTCATCGCTGGGATCCCCCACGGCATCTGCGGGTCTCTCATCCCACACAATAGACAGTTGCTTTGGAAAACACTGTGTGAGATGGCGCCTCAATTGCTCCGCACTCTCAAACACATCGGGCATCTCACCCTCGCAGGTCACCACGGCATTGTAGCCGATATGAAGAAACTCCCTTCCCTCGTACGTGAAGGAGATGATCAATGCGGTTGGTCCAGTCGGATCGGGAATCTTTGAGAAGTCCGGAGGGTCGCTTTGAAGCGTCAGTTCATGCACCCCGAGGGTAGTGAGTGGCCCAACCTCAAACTCGTCAAGTTCCTGATCCACCGGAAAGTCCCAAATCAACTTCCAGGTGAACTTAACGTCTATTGCATGGGCAGGCGGTTTCTCAAATACCTCCAATAAGACTTTCAGTACAATGGAATCGCTAAAAGGCGCAGGATTACTGCCCACAACAGAAATTCCGCGCAGTTCAACTCTCGTTGCCATCCGTCGCAATCACCAAAATAAACCAAAGTAATATATATATATATATATTTATTTGTTGCTGCCTGCACCAGAGAAAAGTGTCACACGCTAAGCCCAGTGGCTACATAAAAAAAAAAAAAAAAAAAAAAAAAACAAGAGTGTATACGTATAGATATCATTTTAAAAAAAAAAAAAAAACGCACGTCAGGCAATAACAAGGACAAACAGTCTCCATGTAACAAAAAAAAAAAAGTAAATCGCATCCTGAAAAGCTCAGACTATTTATAAGTTCCTGAGAGCAGAGTTAAGCCATTTTGTAATAAATAAATAAATATATATAAATATAGATAGATATATAGATATATGTAGACAGACAAATATATAAACGTATACATACGGTGTATCCTTTTGCCCTTTTTTCCTTCTCTCTTTAAGAAACAGTAAAAGAAAAAAAAAAGAAAAAGAAATCTATCAATATGCATGCAGTACATACGTGTATATATATACGTATATATATATTTTTTTATTTATTTATTTATATGTGTGCGTTTGTTTCATTTTCTTCTTCTTTTCCCATCGGCTCATACAGACACACATGTGTGTGTGTGTGTGTGTGTGTGTGTTTTGTCTATTGCGCTTGAATTTCTTCCTGGCGCTCCACCCCTCCTTTTGTGCCGCCAACCGACCGACGCACAGACGCCCACACATCACGTGCGGGACCGGGAACCACGGAATGATTAACGGCAGATCTCCACTGCGCAATTTATTGTTCGCTTCTTCCTCTTCTTAAATTCCTTTTTCTTTTTTGTTTGTTCTTTGTTTTTGTTTTTGAGTTTTCTGTTGGTTTTCCTTTAAGAACCCTCCGGCTGCCGCCACTACAACTCGTCGAAGGTGGCCAGCGGGTCGTCAAGGACTACTTTGTTGCGGTCAAGCACGTTCTGGTCGTCGTCGTCAGCGCCGCCGTCGTCGTCGTTTTCAGCCACAAAAACGTAGTCGGAATGCGCGTTTTTGGCGTCACGCTCATCGCTGGAACGGAAGTCGCGTGGAATCACTTCGTCCTTCACAAGTGCCCGCACCTCCGCGGGGTTGTAACGATGAATGACGTCGACAATGTCGTTTTTGTTAAAAGAGCGCTTCGAGACCAAAACGACATCGCCCTGCCCAATCCACACTTTCCGCACCATGGCACCACGAATGGAGCCAATCGCCTTGCTGCCATCCGCCAGCTGCAGCTCAAGCCGCAGGTTCCCTAACGCCTTCTTCACCTGCGCGTATTCCTCACCCTCCTGCGGGTCGGCGTAGACA